ATTAATCTAAAAAGTAACTAAATATATCAAACAAATGTAGTGGAGTAAAAACTACAATATTTGGCTAACTAAAGTATAAAGTGAAATAGACCCAGTAAATAGAAGTAGTCCACCTGTCCAGTTTCCGATAATTGATGCAGTGTTACCTGTGACGTAGTACAAATTTGAAATAAACCGTTAACACCGGAGAATTGTTGCTCGTGTCGTCCCCAGGTTAAAAACCGTCAACAGTTAACGTTTTAACCAGTCGTACAAAATATTTCATAATTAAACTTTCCAGCAATAGGCAGGTAAGACTCGGCTGTTGTTTGCCAAAATAATAAAAAATAACAACAATTTTTTAACTTAATGTTTTATGTCTTGTTGCGTTTTTGTTAGTTTGGTCGGGATTAGCTAAATGTAGCTAACTAGCTAGCCAAGTAAACTATCATCAAGTGACACCCGTTAACTGCTAGATAAACGGAAGCCCTAGCAAGCTAATTAATCTAGCCAACGGCTAAGATGACGCCAGATCTTCGGATGTAATTAAATATTGTGAAGGCTATTTGATATTATCTGTTAAAAATGCTTTTCTCTTGATAAAGTCTAAGTTAGACTTGAACGCTTAACGTTAAATCTCAGTACGGTACCTCGGTGGTGGAAAGTAAGTAGCATGAAATGCATTTAACGTTATTCAAGAAATCTTACTGCAATTACAATTTTGAGGTACTTGTACTTGAGTATTTCCATTTGTTTTCTTTTACTCCTAGACTCATATACTCCACTATATTTCATAACGAAATATTATACTTTTTACTTATTGAACTGATGTAGTTATTTTAGGAATTAAAATTTTACATTTAAACGTATAATAAGCATATAAAACGCAGTTTAATGAGGTTAAACAGACGGCTCTCAATCTTTATGACTTTCAAAACAGTATCTATTGGGGGCCTCTTGTCATTGTTTAAATGTATCCACAGAGATATATCCACTCTAAACTTCACAGGTGGCTTCACTAAAACAACCCTTGCCAAAAGTTGCCATTATCTGTCAATTTAATTTTAGAGAAACCCCTCACATTTGAGATTTGCTATACATTGATGTGTGAAGAATTATTTGTGCTTCTTCCACCACTGCTGTACTTAACATACGATAATAACAGCTGTATCTAACTCTCTGGTCTTTTCAGGATGGAGAGAAACCAAGGTTTTAACTTCAAGCTGTTGGTGCCCCCCAGGTTGAATAATGGACAGGTATGTGCTGTTAGACCTCAGGAAATTGTTGAGAGTTGTGGTGACTTCATGAATACATTTCAGCAGGTAAGTTAAATTAGCCAATAGTTAACCAAAAGTAATATATTAATGAACTAAAGCCAAAACACTTTAATACTAGCTCAGCACTGACACAGTCGTTCAGCACAATAATTAGTCAACTTTTTATCAGCAGTGAAAGTTTTAAACATACAGTTTGTGCACTTGTGGGCATTGTTTTCCATGCTGTAAGCTGAAAGCATTAATGAATGGAGGCAGCTGTTGTCTAACAGGCAGTAATCATTAATGCCTGTGATGACTAAGTGTAATTGCTGTTTTCCCCTAGGGTTACAGTAGGTGTTTTGACAAAGGACAAAACATGCCTTTCCCAAATACAAGCCTGGTCACACCAACTAAACCAATCAGACAAGGTATTTTCTATTATGCAACACTGGCTACATACTTTCAACACAAAGAACTGGCAGTTATCATACATGTTATTATAAATTCATAATTGTCTCTCCTCCAAAGACTTTCCCAATATGAAAGTTGTGCCACCAATGGAAAAAGACGAGGTAATATTTTCATTGTACACAAATGTGAAGCATGAATAGAATATACTTGGCCTTTGCAATGTGTTTATTCTAAAGTACCTCAGTTTACTTCCCATCATTGTGACTATTCCCTAGAATAATTGCAATCCTGGACAGCTTTGTTCCAAGCTCTTTGAGGAAGTTGAGAAAATGAAGTGTTGGAAGGTCAAAGTTGNTTCATTGTACACAAATGTGAAGCATGAATAGAATATACTTGGCCTTTGCAATGTGTTTATTCTAAAGTACCTCAGTTTACTTCCCATCATTGTGACTATTCCCTAGAATAATTGCAATCCTGGACAGCTTTGTTCCAAGCTCTTTGAGGAAGTTGAGAAAATGAAGTGTTGGAAGGTCAAAGTTGACTCTGACACTGTGCAAAAGGAGAGAAGACTCCAAGAAAACAAAAGGACAATAGAAACTCAGCGCAAAGCCATTCAAGAGTTACAGGTGTGTAACTCGGTGACAAGTTTTCTTTGTCTTTTTCTGTCCCTCTCTAACCACATACAAAGATTATCGATAATCAAGGAACAGCATACTCTAACACTCTTTGATATTTATTGTTATCTGTCATGTGTGTTCTGTTTTTACAGTTTGGAAATGAAAATCTCAGCATAAAGCTGGAGGAACAAATAAGTGAAAATGAGGATTTGAGGAACAAGTAAGGGTTTTTTTTTAAAAAATGCTCTGAGACACAATGAGCATGCTCTGTAAAAGCCAGATGAATGTGACAATCTGATTTTTAAATATAAATGTTTTGTTTACTTCAAATATTTTGTTTATACAAAATTCCAAATTTTAAATGCAGAAACAATGCAACCAGGAACTTGTGTAATATACTGAAAGACACTTGTCAGCGGTCAGCTAAGAATATGCAGCTGTGTAAGTAAAAAGTGCTTTAAATTCTTCTGCCCATATATATTTGTCAGCCATATTGTTAAGGTGCTGAGAATATTGACACATTGCTACATATTTTATAATTAAATTCTACATTTTGTAGTTGAATCTGAAAGAGAGGAAACACATCACCTGGTTATGGAAAATAGTGAGAGCATTCAGGTAAAACACTTCTAAATTTATCAACAAATTTTATAAATTATTTTTTGGACAGGAGCGAGTAAAAGGGTAGGACATGAGGTTTGATGCAATTTAACTTTTTTCTGTAGAAACTGATTGCAGCATTCGAAAGCCTTCGTATTCTAGCAGAAGCTGATCAACAAGAGATGCAGAAAGGTATTTTTTTTCTCTTTATGTTTATTAGGCTATTCAATACAGTAATCCTTCAGAAGGATTCATCCTAATGATATAGGATGAATTAATGATAGATCGACAAGCAAGATAACATGTCCACCAGCAAGAAAATTTATCATTTTTATCTTTTTCCAGTGAAAGAGGGCTTGCTGCAATTTGAAGAGCTAAAAGAGAAATATTGTCAAGAATATGCCATGAAGGAGGAAGAGGTTAGTTCAGAAAAGAGAGACCAGTTTATGTGGGAACTTGTAACATGTAACCACAGGTTTTGAAACAAAACATAAGGACTGATGCTGTATTCACAGGTGGCTGGGCTTCAGATAAAGCTTAAGAATACGGAAAGTGGACTAGAGAAAGTCCTGCTTGACCTCCATGAAACCCAAAAGCATTGCAAACAACTCCAAGAGACAACAAGTAAGATAACATTAGCTTTCTAAATTCTGAACTATCTGTTATAACATTTCTTAATTCTTTTTTGTGCAGTCTTAGGCCTCTGGGGTAACTGCATTTGACAGAAAAATATATATAACCTTGTAATTATTCATTTTTTTATCCAATGTTCAGTTCAAGTCAAGTTCAATGAACTTGAACTTGAACAGTACTGAAATGGTTTTATTCGTGATTTTTTGAGGATACCAAAGATTACATCATATATTTACTATCTTTACAGATCAACAAAATGAACTTCTCAAAAGCTCAAAAGCTGAACAGGAATCCCTTCTTCAACAACTGCACACTGCTGAGCAGAGCTATGAAGAAACTCAGGTGAGTGTGTTAAGATTCTTGTCAGTCTCAGGGCTCTGTTGTGTTCTATCTGCTTTGACTGAGACATTATTGCTCCCTTAAAGAAAAATCGTGAAGCTATTGCTGCAGCCCTGGAACAAAGTAAAGAAGAATATGCACAGATCATCCAAAGCAAAGACTTAAGCTTGCAGGAGCTCAGCAGAGTTAAAAATCAACAAGCAGAGAAGCTGGAGCAGATTCAGACAACCATTAAAGAGCTACAGGATTCATTAGCCCTAGAGATACAGAGGTATTATTAACTCCTGAAAATTCACAGTATTTTCCAGACCAAGTGCAATTTTTCCTCCTATCATTAAATTTTTATTCATTCTTTGCACTAATTTTCCAGGGCCAAAGAACTGGAGGATAAACTAATGGCAAAAAACAACGAACTTGAAAGGAGAAACACACTTTTACGTATGTCTAACTGTCTGAAATATGTATATATTTTTATTTGATGCTCTGTCAAGCCAAAAGAAAATGTTTTGCTCAACAGGAGAGACCATGGACCAGAGTGCAAAGAAAGATGGGCAGATCAAAATCCTTGGAGATGAACTGGTAAAATGTGTTTTAAAGTTGAGGAAGAGTTTCTTTGCTTTTTAAGTTGTTCATTTTAATCTAAACTCCACATTCGTTGTAATCTTATCTCTATGTGGTTGTGTTCCAAGGACATCAAATTAAAATCCATTGAGTCCATGAAGGGTAAGATTGATGTAACTGAAGTCAGAGTGGAGGAACTCACAACAAAGCTTTCAAAGAGAACCGAAGAGGTCAAACTATTTAAGGTGATATAAACAGATGCTTCGTCTCAGAAAAAAGGATGTTTATTTGATAGTCTAATCCAGATTCCTTAAATAATATATATATATATATATCAATATGTGCCCTTTTTATTGATGCAGAATGAAGCAGAGATGGCCTTTGCTCGAAATGATCTACTTAAGAAGGCTTGTGAAGCTGCTGAAAAGGCAAAAGAAGATTTAAAGGAGAAGTCAACTGAGACAGAGGTTTTTGACATGATTTCCATTTTCTTGCTCCACTCATTATCTCTTACCCAATGTGGAAATCATTTTTGGGAAATTATTTTTATAATGAAAAAAATTCAGTGATATGTTGTGTTTTTATGCTCTCAGATCAAAGTGCAGGAGCTAGAGGCAGAGTTGTTTACTGAAATAAAGAAAAATAAAGAACACACCTTTCAAATGGAGCAACTGAGGAATGACATTACACTGCATAAGTGAGTTCTTAATAGCCAGCCATTCCACAATATTGGCTTATTGAATATTATATTGAAGTGTTGAAATCTTAATGTCTAATGTTTAATTTATGTCATTTTGAAGAGTAAAGTATGAAGAGCTATTATCCAACTTTAATGAGCTTCAGTCTGAGAAGATGGCCATTCAACAGCAGTTTGAGAGTGAATCCTCTAGTGTGAAAGCTGTTGAGGCAAATATGAAGGTCTGAATTACCAAATGTGACTTTCATGACACCTATTTCATGTGTGCAGTAGTTATGTGTTTTATTTAGTCATTATTTACTGTACATACAGTATGTGGCAAGTTCTTACTGTTTTGACTGATCAGGTGAGCGAGGAGAAGACTGTGAAGCTCACAAGAGAAATTCATAGACTCAAAGAAGAAAACCAATGTTTACGGTGAGTTTGCAGGTTAGAGACCTACACATTTTTGACATTGTGTAGTCTTTGAGATTTAGATTTGTATATTTTCATTAAATAGAGAGGAAGCAAACTCCATTAAAACCAAAATCCAAGAGAAATGTCAAGAAACTGAGACTCTGCACAAGAAAATGGAAGAAAATGTAAGAATGCCAACAAAATCGATTATTAATGGACACACAATGCTTCATAATGATGCCTGTTGTGAAAGTAGTAAATGCTTTCTTTGTGCTTTTTCTGTATAGTATGAACATCTGCAGGAGAAAATTACAGAAAAAGAAAAACAGATCAAAGCTGTTGAAACAAAGGTAATTAAAAAAAAAACACAAATAAAAATGCTGTTATTATTGATGGCCATTTTCTGGAACTAACAAGAAATATTTTGTTTTTTGTTTTCATCTGTGCAATCTCAGGGAAAAAATTGAAACTGTAGATATACAATACTTGAGATGGATTTGTTTTTTATTTAGCTAAACAGTTCACTTGTATATTTTCAGAATAAAATACTGAAGAAACAAATAACAAAGGAGATTGCAAAATCCAGTCAACTTGAAAATGTGGTATAGTGATGTTTTTTTTTTAATCTTTTATCTATTTGTAATATCAATAGGAAAAATTTAAACCAATAAGTAATACTCTGTTTAATGTAAATGCTTGTTTTTGTCTTTAGATCAGCAGTCTTCATGATGAGTCCCAGAACCTTGAAAAACTGAATGAGGAAATCCATCAGAAATTGCTCAAGGATCTTGAGTACAAATCCACCTTTGCAGCAGAACTTGAGAATGAGGTTGTTACTTGAGGTTACCAAAGTTATTTGGCATATTTTTAGCTCCCAGAATAAAAATTAAGAATAAAATCATCTTGTCTTACAGGTACAAAAGATCAAATTAACAGCAGCAGAGGCCATCAAGAACAAGGAAGATGCAGAACTTAAGTGTCAACACAAGATAGCGGATATGATTGCACTGATGGAGAAACACAAGGTAAGGTCATTATAAAGTATATTCTGTCCAAAAATGGTCTTGTACAGTATGAGTGTCAGTCCAGGAAGGAACTTGACTTGTCTTTACTAGAGCCAGTATGACCGGATCGTTGAAGAAAAGGATGCAGAGCTTGATGAGAACAAGAAGAAAGAGAAGGAGGCTGTGTCCCAGAGGAAATCACTGGTATGAGGCAAAAAATTATAAATAAAGATTTATCACTATCTATTTACTGTTAGATAATGAATCAGTTATATCCTAATATGTCTGAAATCAAATTCTTAAAATCAGGAGTTGGATCTTTCAAAACATAAGACTGAAAATGAGCAGTTGAAGAAACAGCTGAAGACTGAAACAACAAAGAAGGTATGCCCCAGTTAGAATCCATTATAGTTTTATTTTTGGCTTTTTACTGAAACAGGATGTGCTTTAACTTTTGAGAGACAGTTCTTTTTTTCTTTTGAGAAACACTTTTCGTTGCTATTAGGAAAACCTGCAGAAGGAGCTAACTGATTTGAAGAAAGAAATGTCATCAATGGAAATCACTCAGGTGTCAGAAGCAGAGAACAAGCAGGTACAAAGTCAGTACATCTGCAAATATGCTGCCACTGATGACGTTGTTTGTCATCATTTAACCAAGAAGTAATCTTCAAATTCTAGTCACCTGCCTCAAACTATAAACAAGGACGATGTTCAGAGACTCCAAAAGACAGTGCTTCAAAGAGACGCATATTTGAATTCTCCAAGACCAGGAAAACTCCCTCCTACTGCAAAGATAATGGAAGTGCTGCAGTTATGAAGAATGCTGTGAGTTTAATCTACTCAAATGTTTTTAGATAGGCAAAGTAAATTGTCTCATTTCAGCTTTATACTAAATTGTTGAGATGAGTCGGAAAATAACTCATCAAGCTGTCATAACTAATTTTCGATTCTTCGGTAATTATTACTGGAATTTTAATTGGCATTTTCAGGCTCAGGAAAGTTTAAGTAAAAATACTGTGTATCACATATTCAGACCATCATGTCTTTTATGGTTCAGGAATCTGACACTGAATCCCTCAGAAAGTCATGTGGAACAACACCAAAGAACAAGGTAGATGACAGTTTAATCTGTTCATAAAGTAAATATGGCAATGATAATTAAGACAACTATAATCTTTTGCTTAATCTGTGTCTCTGTTTACTGTAGCATTCATTCTAAGTAAAACTGACCCTGACTTTGTATCATAGGATGCTCACACTGAAGACCTGAAAACCCCGAGTATGACAAACAGGGTTGGCGGAACATCAAAGATCAAAGTAATATACAGTATCATTCTGACATTTTCCAAAATGAATAAAAATATCAATGGCTTTTGCGGACATTTACTCTTTGAATTCACTTGCAGTCCTACAGGATAAGGACACCACCTTCCGCTGAAAAAGCAGCACACTGGGGGAAGAGCACCTTTGAGTTTGACCCCAAGTCTGACAGCTCTGATCAAAATGATCTATTGGTGAGAAGTGTTTTTATTGGTTCAGAGTTTATTGGTCAGAAGTATACAGTATCATACCAGCCTGTTGATTTTGTGAATTTAATGTGATTTTTGTGCAAGATTGACAGAAGAGCTGATTTGGCTTTCTATTTGTCTTCCTGACAGACCTTTGAAAATGCACCCACGCTCAATTTTTCTGCTCCGCACTGTAAACTCAACACCATCAAAAAGGTAACACACTTCCATAGTGGTGTAATGCCATTTAGATATTATCTTTATGCATTTTATGCACAGACAAAGATGAAATAAGCCCTGTAGTTTTTATTTATACTACATCAACTTTTATTCAGATCCAGAGCCCTGTCACTAAATCACCAGGGAGCTTGTTGAAGCTAGCTGCAATGAAAAGGATGAGAGATGCTTGTTGGACCGCAGTGACAGGTGGTGACAAGAAAAGGAAGAAAAACAATGAGAAGATCTTTGCATAAGTAGTGCTGTTACAGGTCAGATAAACCGTATTAGCAATATTACACAGGTTTAGGAGTTGATACTCAAGTAAACTTGATATCTTAACATACATAGATGGTTTTGTTAGGGATTAAATATAACATAATAATAATAGTAACAGGCAAATATATTTCTTTACATGCAGAGAAAATATTGTTATGGATCAGTTAAACAGTATTGTTTGTGACATGCAGATTTAGGTGTTCATGTTCTAGCTTTTAAGCAAGTTTGCTTGAGATTTGGAGATAGATTTTGAGTGAAGTTACCCTCCATGTTAAGTACTTTGCAATAAATTCTATTCTATGAAATAATTTATCTTAACTAATATACACATGAAATCTCTATTTTGAACAAGTTCATATTGTTGGTGTTGGGAAAGAGTAGTTGTTATGTATTACTCTCTTAGTATATTTATCTATCCTAGAGTTGACAGTGAAATCAGTAAAAGTAATGTTCAAATTGATCTTTTTTGTTCCTTTTTGAATGTTCTTCTCATCATCATTTTCTCTTCCTCTCAGACATTAGCCTCTCATAAAGAGCTTAAATGTCAATGTGAAATTTCAGTCTTGAAATTGTATGAATTCGTGGATGAGGAAAAATGTCCGTGTCCATGTCTGTTATGTATTAAAGGTGACATCTCAAACTGTAGTTAGCTGTCTCTCCTCAGTGAAGGAACTCAAGGCGAAATTGAGATTGGTCTTCTGGGGCTGTAGGTACATTATCGTAGATCGGATGGCCATCATAAAGTCCTCCGGAAATTATGAGGGTATCATCATCTGCCACGAATGCATCTGTTGAAAATTAGATAGGTATTTTTAACTGCTAATAATTATCAAAATAGATTGTATTGATTGTATGATGAATGGGTGGCTCCTTACCTGTGTCATTAGTGTTGTTAAGAGGCTGATGCAAGTATTGGATTTTCTGTTTGCATCTGTGAAACATAAATATAACCAATGCCACACCGAACACTCCCAGTGCAACACTGAAGACAATGGTCATGTTCTTTTCTGAAATGTCCAGTCCAAAACCTAGTAGCACAGCAAAAAGGCAGGGAAAGTAATTGACAGAAGTTCAACGAAAACATGAAATGAGCAATTAAATTATTAATAAATAAATTCTAGCCTTATACTTACCTTGTGTGATTCTGTCCACTGAATCTGAAGTTGTATTGACAGTGTTAGATGAATTTGCAGTTGTAATTACTGAAGTATCCGGTGTACTTATGTAACCTGCTGTGGACTGGATTACTGGCATTGTCACAGCTGTAAATGAGGAAGTGTGAGTGCCAGGTGTGGTGGTTGTCAATAAACTACTCCTTGTTAGAGGATTCAAGACGGTTGTTGACTGAGAGGTCTGGGGGTGACTTGTGGTTTCATTGAATGTTCCATTGTCCCAGGTTGTGCTGGTAAATGAAGTTGTGTCTTCACTTATGTTTGAGATAACAGTTGCATGTACAGTGGTGTTAGATGATGTAACGAGTGTAGATGTGTGATTCAAGTTTAAGCCAGGGGTGGTGGTTGTTGGCATGATAGTCAAATTCATTTTTTCTGTGTGTGCCTCAGCAAAAGAAACAGCCAGGAGGCAGCAAGCCACGGTAGCAAAGATGGTATCCATGGCACTAAGTCCTGTACTGGAAAACAAAACATGGGCTAAAAAACACTTCACATCAAACATTAAAAATATCTCTTTCTATTAACTTAGCAATATTCAGGTTAAAAACAGAGTCTGAGCTTGCTCTATACGTAAGTTCTTGATTGTGTTATGCAGTGAAAAAAATGCCTTAAACATGGTGCCTTGTGTAAGTAGGTCTTATGCAATACATTTGCAAATTACACTGACATATTTTAAGCAGGAAATGACTGCACACACTAAATGTGACTTTGTACACAATGAGGTTAATACATAATAGCCTAAAACTCTCTGATCTTTTGTTGTTACGTCAATGGAAACATTTCTAATCTCTCCCTAATGCTAAAGCTTCATAAGTCCAAACTTGGATTCGAAAGTAAACAACGTTCACTGTATTTACTGCTGTAGACTGATTTAGAAAAATCAGGCTCACCTTGTTTTGTCGGTATGACTGAAAACAGTAACTTAGTTCACTTCCCTGGCAGTGAGTTTGCCTCCATGTCAAGGCTGACTCTCCACTTCCTACAAACTTGGAATGGCCACAGCGCTGATTTGTTGGCATTGTGGCAGGGAAAAGTGGGCAGGTCAGTGCTTTGTAAACTTCCTCTATTGTATGTTGCCAAGGATACAAAGGGCACAGTTATTACCTAGACCAAAGCTCAACCTCTTTCTCTCTGTCTGTCTCTCCCTCTCACTCAGTTCAAATAAATCTTACAGCCTGGAGTAGTACAGAAACCACTGCAAAGCAATAACTATACAGTAAATGTTTTTCCTTAATGTTCTGTATTTTCTTTCACATAAATATGAAGGTCATGCACGCACTGAAGTTCTCTGAAATTAGATTTCAGTCAACACAGTTGAACTTTGTACAAAATATTTATTAACAAGTAGAATTTTTGACTAATTTTTACAGGGAATCCATAAAGAGTGAACCGTTTCCTTATAAAAATAAGACAATAAAAAATAGTCATAAAGAAATGGACAACAATATTGCCCATGCTTTTCTATGTCAGCATGAAATGAAGAAGGACAGTGTTCAGGTGGAATATAGAGCTAGCAGCCACTATCAGGGAGGACAATTGAACAAAGGGCAATAAAAGTAAAACGATTCTGCCACATCACTGCTGAACAGGAAATAGGAGCAGAACAATCTGTATGGGCCAGAAGATGTGGTGACCTTGTGCTACTTCAAGTGTTCTTTTCCCTATTGTTCTGATGAAGATTACAACAGCTGAAATGTTAAAACATTTCAGAACATTTTCCTACTATTGTTCTTTTTTCTGCTGCTCTTCAATATTTTAACAACATAAATAGGGAAGTTTTTAAATATAAATTAAATTTTGCAAGTTCAAGTTTAGGTTTATTATTCTTAATACAAAATCAAGTAATTATTTATTGAAGCAACATGTTTAAACCTTATAATTCATATTAGGATAAATACATATAACAGTAAAAGGGTTGTTTATGCAAATCAAATGCACTACATCAATGTAGCAGCTAAACAATTGTGGCTTGTCATTTATGTGTTTATAAAATAATAATAAAAAAAATAAAAGTTAAAGTGTCCCCATGAGGAACGGTGTATTGATAAAGCAGCAGCATTATAGTTTGGTGGCTTTTCCAACATCTTTGCTCATCACATCGAATTCTGTGAGTGTGAAATGGTTGGCTCCAATGTGAAACTCTGGTGCAGTCTTTTCAGTGACATCTGATACCTATAGTGGGTTAAGAACATTAAGTAGCATATTAATAATGAGTACTACTGGTACAGTATATCCTTACTTTATGACCAGTTACCTGACAAAAGAGTCAACATCTTACCTTTGAGTTACTAAAGCAGCTGAAGCAGAACAGGTCACTCTTCCTCACAAACAGATCGGAGTTCAGCTTCTTTTGTTTGCATCCACCTAAAAAAACAAAACAAATTCATATTCCCATCACAGTTTTATAGTAGGTTATAATATCAAACATTTACACAACAGCAACACTGTTGTGTCTCTGCAGTGGAAGTAGAGGTTAGATGTCTCACCTGTGATGATGCTCACCAACAGTCCAGAAACGATTGTGGTCACTGTGCCCAACAGAGAGAAGTAGAGATAGGACAGGGAGTACCAGGAGTCTGCCAAAGGTGGTCTGACACTGATACACAAACAAAATCATTTTAGTAATCAAGGTCTACAGTCTATGTGCCACATTAGATCGCATATAGTTGCTATTCTTAACAACGTATTAAGTCTTATAGCTACATAAGGCCTTCATGGGGTGATTTAAGCACTTGGGTGGTTGTGAGGTATTGGAACCCATTAAATGTTGGCACAGATCTGGTTTAACGAGAGATCCAGTATTATATCAGTACTTACATCAGTAATTCAGTCAACATGGGACTAATATAATTACACAATAACAACAGAGGTGGCAACATAGCAATGAGACAATTTGTACTGCTGTAGAGCTGCTGGCATAATCATTTCACATAACAGGTATTAAAACCATAAAGCTGTCTTGTACAAGTTAAAGACAATAAATAAATAAAGCTATACTTGACCTTGGTGCCCTGGCAGCCTTATGTGCTTTATTGAGTGCCGCTCTATTTTTCCTTGATTAATTATTTGGTCCATAAAATGTCATAAAATATTCTAAGTTGACATCTTCTAATGTTTTGTCCAGCTAACAGTACAATTACCAAAGAAATTCACTATTATGATATGAAATATAAAAAAAGCTGCAAATCCTCAGATCTGACAAAGTGGAAACAGAGAATGTTTTTATTAAATTACCTAATTAATGGTTGCTGATGAGTTTTCTGTCAGTCCACTAATCACTTAATCAACTATTAGCTAAACCTCAGGTATATACTATACAATTTTTGTAAGTATACAGCTTGTGTGTTTGGATCTTCTCTTGGTATACTTGTATTATCACTCTGTCACTGTGCGTATTGCATGGATTTCAGAGTTTATTCTGAAATGCATTTAAAGCCTAGATAAAAGTACATTTCTGAAATGTAGTCCAGAAAAGCAGTGGGTGCAGCATATTTGCTTAATCAAATTTATGGACCTTGACATAGCATAGTAGCACCTGCTTTTGACACACATCAGAGCATTGCCCCTGAAGTGGCTCTAACCAATAAAAGCTATGAGACCAAAATGTTGAATGATGATTTTAAGGTTGGTTGTTAAGCCTCGGATTGGTTTTGTCCTCAAGTAGTGGTTTTATCAAACTTGTTTCTTAGCACAAATTTTAGCAACCACCAGAATTCAATATTTACTGTGAACATATCATGTGCTCGAGTGTCATCAGATGGACATTTCTTTTATGCAACATGACTCACTCAGGCTGGGAGGTCAGAGTCACTGGACTGGTCCAGGGA